ATGCAATGCTGATTTGGTTTGGCATGTGCTGTGGAATGGTTGGCTGTTTAGTTGGCCAAAGAAATAATTACGACTGCGTATGTCGCAAACGCGAACGCGATCAAAATATTTTGCCACCTCCTTAGAGCCTATTCCGTGCCTGTTTGTGTCGGCAAGACTCCTCGACCAAGGCCTCAAGGCTGGGACACCCCTTTCAGGTACGACAAGTGCCGGAATATCATTGTGAGGTTTAGTCGAGATTCACGCGTCGAAAGTGGAAGACCGCGTCGTCCAACTGAAGACGTCACTCTGCAATTTACCTCGCCTCGACGTGATGGCAAACCTTCTTGCTTTCCTCGCCGTGTTTGCCGCCATGGCCAGTGCGAGCGTGAACCAAACCGACGACCGCCAGCTCCAAACCACGGACGCATCGTTTTGCTGGAAGACAACGCATACACGCGGTGTTGGCCAAGTGCCGGTATCGTGCGCCGCCGGACAAGAGCGCCTGGGTCTGCTGTGCTACGACAAGTGTCCAGTGGGCACGACCCGCGTAGGCCTTGACTGCCACTCGATCTGCCCCGCTGGGTTCGCGGACCAAGGACTGTTTTGTCGCTACAGTGAATACGGCTGGGGGGTTGGGTACCCGTGGAAGTTTGGCGACTGGCTGGACAACAGCGGCATGTACCAACGCTGCCAAAAGGACCATGGGCAGGACAAGTGCGAAAACTGGGGGCGGGTTGTGTACCCCAAGTGTGACCGGGCTACACTTCGTTTGGTTGTTGCCTCTGTCGACCAACCATCCCCGACTGCGAGGCCCTTGGCTTGGGCGGCCGGGTGGACTTGTCGTGTGCCAAGAAAATCACGATTGGGACGCCTTACTTGGGCACGTGCGCTGCCAACGAAGAGCGCGATGCAGGTCTATGCTACCCCAAGTGCAAGCCCAAGCACACGGGTCTCGGCCCGGTGTGCTGGGGTCGCCCTCCTCCCTCGTGGGTGAACTGCGGCATGGGGGCCGCAAAAACCACCTTCGATTGCATCACTGCCATCAAAGACCAAATCTTGTCCGTGGGGGAGCTTGTACTCAACATCGTCACAGGGTTTGCCGCCAGTTCGGCCAAGGTGCTCAAAGGCCCGGCGGACCCCGCCAAGCTCGCCCAGTTGTTGAAGGCGTGGAACGCCATTAAATCCAAGCCGGTGGTCCAAACGGCCATCAAATCCTACGACATTGCCAACAAAGCCAGAATTGGTAACCTGATCATCCACGATCTCCAGCAGGCCAACTCCACCACCGAAGACTACGTGCGTATCGCAGCCTCAATCGCGTCCCTCTTGGACCCCAGCGGCGTCTCGGGTGTCATTGCGGCCTACACGTTCTCCACTTGCGACAAAGTGGCAACCTAACCAACAAGCGAACATGCATGGGTAGCTTCCCTGAGTTTTGTCGCAAACGGTCACGAGCCCTACGTTTTGGATGCAAAACCTCTAGCATAATGAGATTAACGTATGTGGATGTTATCGGATCCATGGTATGTGTGACCTAGCTCTACATTGATACAGGTCCGCGCAGACGCTGCTCTCAAACATATATATACATCAAGATGATCTTTAAACATTCAAAGTCAAAGAACGACGCCAAGTACATTGCAATATGTCCAAGCTGAAGCTGTGAGTACAGTAACAGAACTCGAGAACACTTATGCAAACGTGACCATGTTTCAGACAAATTCTGTCGACAATGTATCACTCTGATCACAGTACTACTGTACTGTAGTTTTGTTTAAGCATTTGGCTTTGAACCAATATACGATACAGACGGCGACGGATTTTAAGGGACACCTGCTACTTCGAATTTTCAAATTGAATAGATATGATTGGCTCATTTTCTTCGAACTTCGATAAAAATTGCGGCCAACCAGATTCCAGACGTTTCATTTTTCACAATTTTAAATTCTAAAATTATTTTAAATTGATTGGATTGATGAAACGAATACAAGATAAGCGTTTGACGCGATACTGTACTGTAGCGCAGTGGTAAAACACGTTGTGTGCTTGAGTGAGCCCCGGGTTCAAGTCCCGGGCGCGTCGAACTTTTTCTTTTGAATCAAAGCCATCACATTTCCCATACAAGCTTACATACACTTCCTCATACAATAATTCTAGTATTTATTGAAGAAAACCCATAACTCCCATACAAAAATCAGTATTTATTGAGGAAGGGCTTTAATAAAGCTATGTCGAATCTCTTGGGGTGTAATACGTGCCCATGCCTTTATGGCGCGATGAATCATAACAAGACGCTTTTGTTGCGCCGGAACAGACATAAGATCTACATCTACATCACTATCGTCGCCTTCGATCAAGTCTTCCTCCAACCACAAATTGCGCAAGTGCCGCTTAAATGGCGCCATAATTCCGACGTCCAGAGGTTGAACGACGCTTGTTGCGTTTGGAGGGATAGGGGCCACAACGCATCCACATTCCTCGCTGGCAATCTTGAGGCCTTCCTTGCTGACGTGCGGGTCAAAGTTATCGAGCAAAAGCACCGAGGGTTCTCGAACTTGATACTTCAGCAACTTACGGAGGTAAATGGCCCACACCCTCGCGTCCATCCACGCCTTCTCTTGTACCGCGTAGTAGTGTCCGATTGGATAATCATCAAATTCACTTTGCTCGATGAGGCCACCGGGAACTCCACGCATGATGAAGAGGATAGGGAGTTTCTCCCCATTTGCACGTACAGACAGCACAGCAGTCATTCGGTAGGAGTTCTTCTCACCACTTGAGATCTTCGAGGAGCCCCCACAGACAGCCCAGATAGCATGCGGGGGCATATCATACGTCATGCCGGTCTCATCCACATTGATGACGTTTTCGTCGCAGTATCCTTCGAAGGACTGATGAAACTCGAGGGCAAAAAGACGTCGCGTCTCTTCGAGGTCCTTCTGGGAACGCTTTGTCTTGGCAGGCTTTTGGCGAGTGAAGCCACTCCGCTCGCAGAACCGCTGCAGAAGCTTCAACAGAGACTTGTAGCTGCTCGCACTTGCTGACAAGTACTGGTCAAGCCAGTCGCGCTGATTGCGCTTCAGGAAGTTAATAAGATGGGTGCATGTCAGAGCACGCTCCTCACCTCGCATCTTCAGCATGTAGGCTTCTAGGTCGGTGGAACCTGGTAGTTCAGTTGGCCGTCCAGCCCCGTCGAGGTTGAATCGCTTCTTGTTGCCATTAAAGTCGTTGATGGCTGCCGCCTGCTGCCGCCACCGAGAAAGGTTGCTCTTGGGAATGCTGGTGGCTGCCTCAAGGTCGCGCGTTGAGGAAGTGCTCAACTTCAGGATCATGCCCCGCTTTGTGGCTTGAGAGTAGTGACGCCTGGGCTTCTTATGTGGGCTGATGCTGTTGCGCCTCACCGGTCCCATTTGGAAATGACACGACGCGTGCAATTGACAACCAAAAGGTCGTATTTTTAAATGTTTCCCGCCGATTTGAAATTTAAGCCAATCACCGATGGACATTCTGAAATTCAAATCTTATTGGCTATAATGTTTTGAGATTTCAAATATCTTCGGTGTCCCTTAAAATCCGTCGCCGTCTGTAGTTCGAGCAATCACGCTACTTTGATGCAGCGTATACGTTGCTGGCCCCTTTCTTGAACTCTATAACAATAGTAAGGTGTTTCATGTAATTTACTATTGATGGCGCGGTTCGCCACGATGTCAATGACGATGCTGGTAGTTAGCTGCGGTAGTGAGTTGTATTTGTGGCTGTACAGTCAACGATGAATTTTAAGGGACACTTGCTTCTTCGAATTTGGCAAGTAATTCAAATATGTACTTCGAAATTCGACAGATATAGCAGCCAACCAAAATGTAGAAGCCCAATTTTGCACAATTTCAAAGACTGAAGTATTTTAAATTGTTTGGATCGATCAAGCACATAGATAAGCGTTTGACGCGATAGCGCAGTGGTAAAACACGTGGTGTGTCTTGAGTGAGCCCCGGGTCCCGGGCGCGTCGAAATTTCTCATTTATAACAATAAATTTGTATTCAAGAGAAAAACATAAACTGTTTCATTGAGGTATAGCCTTAGCAAAGCTACGACGATTTTCTTGCGGAGTAATACGCGCCCATGCCTTAATGGCACGGTCAATCACAACAAGGCGCTTTTTTTGCGCCGGGACAGTCATCATATCCACATCTTCCTCACTATCACTACCTTCAATATCAAATCCTCATCTAACCATAAGTTTCTCAAGTGCCGCTTGAACGGAGCCATAATCCCAACGTCCAAAGGCTGGACCACACTTGTCGCATTCGGTGGAATGTCAGCAACGACGTACCCGACCTCTTCGCTTGTAATCTTGCGCCCTTACTTGCTCACATGCGGCTTGAAGTTGTCCAACAAGAGTGCAGACGGCTCACGCACTTGGGGTCTCAGCACCTTGTTAAGGTAAATGGCCCAGACGCGCGAGTCCATCCAGGCACGTTTTTGTACTGCATAGTAATGTCCAATTGGGTAGGAATCGAACTCGTCTTGCTAAATGGGGCCACCAAGGATGCCACGCAAAATGAAGAGGATAGGAAATTTCTCCCCCTTGGTACGTACAGCAAGCACTGCTGTCATCCGTTATGAGTTCTTGTCACTACTTGAAATCTTCGCGCTGCCACCTTTGACTGCCCAAATCGCGTTAAGTGGCATGTCATAAGTCATACCAGTCTCATCGACGTTCAAGAGGCATCAGGAGTGTATTCGATAAATGTTTTGTTGAAGACTTGAGCAAACGCTGTTCTTGAAGCGCTGAGCTCTTCCTGCGACTTCTTGGCCTTGGAAGGTTTCTCTCGGGTAAAGTCGTGCTTGGTGCAGAACCTTTGGAGGAGCTTGAGAAAAGCCTGGTAGCCGCAGTTCTTGTTGGCCAGGTATTCGTTAAGCCAAGGACGCTCATGACGCTTCAGGAAGTTGACGAGGTGCGTGCATGTGACGGCCCTCTCAGCCTCTCGAAGCATGTGCATGTAGTTCTTGAGTGCCATCAAGGTTATAGCGTCGCTGTGGTCCGTTGAACTGGAGGAGATCAGCTGTCTGGTTCTTCCATCGCGAGAGGTTGCTCTTCGGTATCCCGGTGGCTGCCTCGAGGTCGTGTGTTGACGCGCTTTGCATCTTGACTACCATGCCTGGGTGTAGCGTCTTCTTGGCTTCTTCTGGGGCCTAATCTTGTTGCGCTGCGCCCTGGGCATTTTCAAATGAGTGGCCACCTTGCCATGGTAGTCAATTGGCCGCGAGTTTAAAAAGTTTTTGCGCGGCATAATGTTATTAACCAATCATGTGATCGCGTTTTCATTAATCGAGTATGATTGGTAGTAATAATTTGTGATGGAAAATAACTTCGGTGTCCCTTAAAAATCGTCGTTGACTGTAGTCTACTGGGAAAGAGGGAATGCAACGCCCACCGAAGAAAACTGTATCTCACATAAATTTTTTGTCCAATCAAATTGATTGTTGAAAATGGCTCGCATTCATTGGCGGAATTTTTATAAAGATCACCCGCGCGCTTTTCAAACAATTTAATTCTGCTCTGGACTTGCAAGTCCACACAATCACCACACACATCCGAACATGAGTCGACGTAAGCAATATCCCATATCAACAAAGCTCCAAGCCATTAGTCTCCTCGAGACAATATGATTACGTGGATCAAGCTGAACCAATGGAACTGGCTGCTCAACTACATCTCTACCAAGAAGCCCAACGCTGCCTGCAGCTCACTTCTAAAGCTGCTTCAGTGCTTCTGCAAACGGCACGGCTTTACCCGGCAGCGACCGACGAAGAAGAAACTGAAGCAAACTGTGCTGGCCGAGGTCCAAGAAGAGTTTGCCAGTGACTTCCATCACGAGTAAGCCGCTATTCGAATGATTGCGTGTTGAACGTCGACGTAACGGGCATGTACTATGACCTACCGCCAAGCTACATTTGGTCTGTCCGGGGCGGCAGCTCCAAGATCTCTGCCGGCGAGAAGCACTCCATGCGCATGACCGCTGTCCTGACGGTATGAGCGGACGGGACCAAGCTGTCTCTGATGTTTGTCATACGCGGGACGCCTGGAGGCCGGATCGAATCAACTGAGGTCCCTACATTCCCGCCGGGGCATGACTACGCCGTTCAAGAAAAGGCGTGCATGGATGGTCGTGTATGGGCACAGTACCTTCGCGAGGTGTTAGGCGAGAGCATCGAAGAGCCTTCAGTCGTGCTGTTGGACAACTTCGAATGCCATGTGTCAGATGAGTCGTACAAGATCGTGTATGAAGAGCTGGGTGCGCACATTTGCGCGCTGCCGCCCAATTCGACGTTCTTCTGCCAGCCGCTGGACGTGGGCGTGATGGCACCCTTCACGCGCAACCTCCGCAAGTTTTGGCTATTGGAAGAGCAGATAGTCGGTGATGATGAAGACCCATTCTCACCTACCGCTTGTCAAAAGCGCATGGCGATGGTGAAACGAGCCATCGCTGCATGGGACATGGTGTCTGACGATGTGATCCGCCGAAGCTGTGAAAAGGCAATTCCACAATTGATGGCGGATAATTGATTCAATTTTTAATAAAGTTGACTGGATTCTTTATAATTTCATAGAATTCCTAGGTTATAAAATATGTCGAAGTTTTCAAAGAAAAAAGTTCGACGCGCCCGGGACTTGAACCCGCGGCTCACTCAAGACACACAACGTGTTTACATGTTAACCACTACGCTATCGCGTCGAACACTTCCGCTTATTGTTTGTCTACGGTAGTAATCCAAGTTCTTGGAATGTCTTCCTTCTACTCTTAAAAACCTCTTTATTTCATTGCGATATTGCCGGTGCTGAACAAATTTCACTGTACGTACGATGTGGAATTGTATCAACTCCAGAAGTGATTAAAATTATTCGAAATGGGCTGCGATTGGCTAGAATAGTTGTCGAACTTCGTAGTTATGTGACCAATTAGACAACTTCATTCCGTGTGAACTCGAAGACAAGGCGGACGTTGCATTCCCTCTTTCCCAGTAAATGCATTGCATTTTTTGCTTTTGTAGTAATATCATACATACGTCAGAAATGTACGTAGCCTTGTCGACGAGGGTTAGTAGCAACGTGCTGTGTGTTGGCATGTAGCCCCCGACGCAAGGTAAATCGTCTGTACTGTTGTCGATATTGAGGATTACGGCTTAGAGCGCAAATTATTTGTTAGTTGTAGTCATGCGGCCGTCACTTCACTTACTACACCTTGGGACTTTTTTCAACGTTCTTGGCTTGACGCTCATTCGAAAGAGCGATGTATCCATTCATTTGGCCTTGTGGCCAATAGAATTGACACTTAATGCCGCAGCACCCTTTGAAATGTACCATGCTACCAATGGAAAAGGCTCCACTACCCAACAATGTGCCAAGTAGCATTTCGAATCTGCCGTGCTTGAAGTTGAGTTGGATCGAATATGAAATTTTATTGTCAAATACGCGACGGCATGAAAAAAGCAGATAAAATCATCGAAACTTGCAGCAAACAGCTACGTGCCTACTTCCATATTTTCCATTTGGTCCGCACGACCGTAGAAGTACTCCAGACGAGGGGATGCGCATGTATTTCTTGCGTGGCTATGAACATGGTTAGTGTATCGTGAGCGACGACGTCGTACTGGTGTCTGTGGTGCAGCGTTCTCCATTTTTGCACGATTTTGAAAAGTGAAAAAAGAAGGTGCGAAGATCGCCCAACTGCAGCCTTCTAGAATATTCGATCCAACTCAACTTCAAGCACGGCAGATTCGAAATGCTACTTGGCACATTGTTGGGTAGTGGAGCCTTTTCCATTGATAGCATGGTACATTTCAAAGGGTGCTGCGGCACTAAGTGTCAATTCTATTGGCCACAAGGCCAAATGAATGGATACATCGCTCTTTCGAATGAGCGTCAAGCCAAGAACGTTGAAAAAAGTCCCAAGTCAATAGATAAAAGGTGTAGTTGCAGGGGTAACATTGGAATGTAGTGCGAGGTACTTCCTCTGTTCCAAATTACTGCGGACATATGGCTTCCCAGCGACCCCAAAAAATCAATATCTGACGAAAGTTAATGAATACAAGGTGGAGGTCATCAAGAGCCTCCAATGCCTCCTGACCTTTGGGAAGTTGCCACGTGGCTCCATCGAGGCCACTGCAACCCTACTTGAAATCAACCGCAAAACCGTTTCGTCGATCTGCAAGGGTTTCATCAATCAGGGCTCGTCTCCATCTAAGAAGGCGGGCCGCTTCGGGCCCAAGTTGCACTACACGCAATGGTTCAACGCGGACAAGGATCACCGAAAGTTTTACCTTACCAAAGGAGAAGCACTCAAAGGCCGAGCGTGCAAAAGCACGAGGTTCCTTCCGAAGGTCATGTTCCTTGCTGCCGTGACGCGCCATCGGTACGATGCGGGTGACAATCTTGTCTTCGACGGCAAGATCGGGATGTGGCCCTTCATTACGAAGACTACTGATTCGCGATCATCGCGCAATCGTTCAGCTGGAACTTTGGTGACTACGCTGGTCAATGTCAATGCTGCAGTATACCAGGACTTCTTGCTAAATCGAGTTTTACCTCCCATCAAAACCAAAATGCCTAGTGAAAGCAAACAGGTGCTGCTGCAGCAGGAAAACGCGACACCCCACATATATCTTCGACGCGGTGCTCCAGATAGCCCGTGACGAGTGGGGTTTCACGGTGCGATGGCAGCCACCAAACACCCCGGACTTGAACGTCCTCGATCTTGGCTTCTTTGCCTCTATTCAGGCGGTACAGTACAAGTCGGTTAGTTGCACTGTCGATGATGTCATTCATTTAACATTAGCTACTTTCAATGAGGTTAGTGTAGAGAAGTTTGATAATGTGTTTTTATCTTCCAGGCGGTCATACGCCTTGTGCTAGAGCACAACGGGGACAATCAGTTTCGCTTGCCGCACATGAACAAGGCTGCCATGAGACGTGCCGGTACGCTAATGGCAATGTTATGTGCCCTGTGTCGCTTCTGCAGTGAATGGTAGATACAATTATCACCAATAAGATTAATGTATGCCTGCATTGACCAATCAATGAGAAATGGGTACAGTAATTTGGAAAAAGTGACTTTTACTTGTGTCCGCAGTAATTTGAAACAGAGGCAGTATACAGTAGTGTCGTTCTTATTTGTTGCACCTGATGTGGATGGAAGGAGAAAGCGTAGTGAGTTGTGTTGTATGTGAGTCGAGGGGAGGGGGAATCATAGTGAGTTGTGGTGTGTGTTTGAACATCCTGTAGAAAATTAATAGCATTATTCGATCCAGATTCATTATGCTGGGACATGGGGGGGTGATCAGGGCTTTGATTATATGATTGTACTTCGTGTTATCTGGATTGAGATAGGATTATGGACGAGGGTATCGCCGCCTACTGTACTACGTAGTAGTTAATATATTGATTCAGGGTCGAAGAATCCATTGCGGTTACGGGTAGTAGGGAAGTGTTTCATAATGGATCCCAGTCTGGTCTGCAAATTATTCAGTTGCATCAAAAGTTTGCAGTGATAACGGCAGTATGTCACGATGGAACTCTACGGCACTAGTAGCTCCTACTATATCGATGACCCGACCATTGTTAGTAGGATAGTTATCCTGCCCAGCACGTAACATTAAACTATCATCCTGTCCGCGCGCAATTCAAGAATTTCAAATCAATACTATTCAATTGCGCGCATTATGTACCCGATAGCCTTCAAGCTCCAGGCCCTGGGCCACCTTGAGACAATGAGAGTCTATCAGGTCGCTACTGAACTTGGTGTCGCCCGTCGAACTCTGCAAAACTGGGTCACCAAACGCGCTCAAATCCTTGCCTACAGAGGCGACAAGAAGTACATGAAACTCACACCTGGTGGCCGACCCGAGGTGTTTCCGTACCCAATTGGGTTGCTTGAGTTTATCCATGGATATGGGACTCTAACCAAGCCCTTACTACGACCCCAGATGGTGACGTGGGTGAACCGCAATCAACGCGAATGGCTTGTGTCGTACTTGGCGGACAAAAAGCCAGGCTGTGGGTACAACCCACGGCTCCTTCTGCTGGAAGGCTTTTGCAAACCTCATGGCATCTCGCGATAACGGCCTAGCATCAGTAAATGGAGCCAAGGGGACCTCTAGGACACTCACGACATCTTTTCAGCTGAATTCCACCGTGAGTTCCTCGCACATGGAGCGTAGTGCGTGTACAATGTGGATGACTCAGAAGAGAAGCATTCGATGCGAATGACGGCTGTCTTGGATGAGTCTAAACTTACGATCCTGTTCATCATAAAAGGGGCGATTGGTGGCCGCATCGAGGCGAGCGAGTTTCCGATCTTTCCTGGTGGCCATTCATATGTAGTCCAAGAAAAAGCGTGGATGGGTGACCGTGTGAGGAAGTCCTACCTGCGCACCGTCTTGCACGACGACATCGAAGAAGCGTCAGTGATCCTTGTGGCGCACCTGTACGACATTCATGAGAGTGGATTCGTCAGCCTTTCACATATCGGCATCACACGATGGGATCAGGAATTGGGCCGATTTGTCGTCCCGACTGACGAAGTGGATGACACTGCCACCCCGGTGGACGACTCCACCATGACCCAAGTGGTGAACCGTCAGTACTAAGGTGCTACTGGCCAACCTCCTCGACCCAACCTCATCCTTCACCATCACCACCTGCAACCTGAATGGCCTCAACATCAATGGCCACCTACACTGTAGTGGCTCGTCGTCTCAAACAACCTCCAACCTGTGTCGTCTTTCAAGAAACGATGAATCGCAATGCTCAACAACTCGACACGTTCCAACACCACCTCAACAACGAGGTTGGTGCTGGCAACTACGTTCTTTTCACCAACGATCCTCGGGCAACCAGTGCCGACCCGGTTCACCGCCGTCACTGTGGGGTCGCCAGCTTCTTTCACAAGTCCATGCCTGGCTTCGCCTCATTGGTTCACCTAGTCAACCACGACATCCCTGGCCGTTATTTGGTGGTCAGGACTGAATGGAGTGGTTTGCCTGTGTACATCCACAACATCTATGCACCCGTGGAGCCCCATCTGCGTGGTGCATTCTTTGCAGCCCTGCCTCGTGATTTCGAACACGACAGTCTGCACCTGGTGGGAGGCGACTTCAATAGATCGTTTTAGCAAGTCGTAAAATCAAATCCCCTACTTTAAACTTCGGACTACTAACGCTTCAAAATTCGTACAGTCAGCAAATTGAGTGATGAAAGTCGTAAATTTCATTTTTCCAAACGACCACAGGCGCAACAGTCGTAAGAAGTCGGTGCTTTGGTGGACCGACATCCATGGGCCAGAAGGACAGAAATCAGGTCATGTGGACCGAAGACATGGATGAAGCCCTCCTCAGGGAAGTTGTGCGGCTCGGCCCGTACGAAGTTGGACACGGGAAAGTGACTGCCACGTGGACGAAGGCCGCGCTGGCCATGCATGAGTTTGATCCCAACATTTCTGCACGAGCATGCCAGACGGGTTGTGATACCTTGCTGCACGAGTTTTCCCAAGATAACCAACGGAGCGTGCGAGCGTCTGGTGTAGAAGAAGACGATGACGACATCGTCAAACTCAAGCAAGATATCTTGGATCGCCGCGACGCCAAGATGCGCCGAACAAGAAAGCGAGATAGCGAACACGAACGATTAGACGAGCTGGAACTTGCTGGCGTGAAGGCATGCAGTGATGCTAAAGAACGAGTTTCGAAGCGACTGTCGACATCCCTTCGTCATCGGTAAAATCATCGTCGACAATTGACGTTGTCATTGACCCTATGGATCAATTGATGGAGTTTGAACGAAAGCGCCATGAAGATGACCATACTTTCCGCATGGAACGTCTGCATTTCGAGCGCCAAAAACAAGAAAATCCTCGAAACGATCAGAGACAAATGTCGCTGTTATTAGATAACCTATTGATAAATTGGGGAACTAATACATTAGTTTACAACGTTTAGATACTCTTCTAAGCTTGGTGGCGCATGACTAAAGTACACGCTGTTAACATTTCGTCGACGGCAGCAGGTTATACAATTTGTTAACAAAATTGCAACCTTGTACAGCTTTGATATGGGGGACTTTCCAAGGCGCATTTTATTTCTATTGTCCAAGTGTGACCAGTACCGAATGATTTGTGCGTACGACCATTCCACACTAACCCGAACATGGCTCATGCTCTTCTTGACAACATACTTGAGCTGGGTTAACGTTGGCGTCAGCAAATGGAGACGCAAAATGCGCCGATTTACCGTAAGCAGAGTCCCCATGAATGATGAAGCCATCAAATCGGGGGTCCATTCGCAAGACGCGTTCGAGTTGGGACCGCCGCAAAATCGTCAAATCGTACCGCCGGTCTTCCACTGGGCCAAATACATGAGCAATGATACCGTCAGGCGTCACCAACGTCTGAAACTTCAACGCATGTTTTCGCTTGTGCCCATTGTACACACAACGCTGCATTGTCCCATTTGTTGGACGTGTACAGGCTCGCACTGTGCCGTCGATGAATGCCCAAACGTTGTGGATTTCAGCGCCCTTTTCCTTGATGGCAGTGGCGAACCGTCGTAGCTGAGGTGCAATGCGGTCGCGGTCGAGGAACAAAGTTTTCTTGAACCTGGAATGGAGGTGGTCGACGACGAACAACATGATGTTGGACTGGGCGCTGGGGGACCTTCCAAAGACATCGATGATGACGATCAATCGGTCCGACACGGCAAAACGGCACAGCAGGATACAGACAGCTTCGACAGCACTGCACCGTGTCCTCTCATGTGTGACGATCACTCGTGGGAGTTGAAAGCAACGAACAAGGAGGTTGATGTCGGCGCGGACAAAACGGAACTTGGACAAGCATTCTGCATCGTTGTAGGCTCCCACATTAAAGGTGAAGTGCGGTATTGGAATTCGGTCACGGAGGGTGCGCTGACGAAGCAGAAAACGTAACTTAGTTGCGACTGAGCGTCGCGATGCCAGAAGCACCGCCATGGTTGGTGTAAGGCACATTGTTGATTGACTGTGAAGTTTATCCGTTAAGGTTCCGGATAAGTTTACATATGTCGAAGTGCGCGTGTCATTGTTTCTCAAAGGCAAAAGCGGAATTTGATTCAAAATTACGACTTGCTAAATACCTCTAAATCCCTCTCCACCCATCCCTCGATGCCTCGACATTGCACTCAAGTCACGGGAATGGCAAAACCGACTGTGTGGAGTGGCTCACAGCACTCGGTGTGGTCGACGTATGGCGTCAGCTCAATCCATCCACACGCCTGTTCAGCGGCCCTGGGCGAGTCAACCGGCTGGACTACCTCTTCCTGCATGACGAGTTGGCTTCCCATCTCAACCCCGAGGCCAGATATGACCCGAATGGCTATGGTGGCGACCATCTCACCCACACTGTGACTCTGTCCCAGAGCCCCTGCCCCACTACGAAGGGCTACTGGCGACTACCACGAGAGCTGTTGTCCGATCCCAACATCCAACGTGCCATCACCATGGAGGCCACCACTCTTCTTGGCAAGATGCGAGCTGACGAGACCCTCAACCATGGTGCGATGTGGTATGGCTGGCTGAAACGAATGAGACGCCAGCTCATCAAATGCCATCGGCTACACATCGAATCGGCTAACACCCAACTCCACCACCTGCGACTCCGTCTCGCAGCTACAAAACGGGCACTGGACGGTGACGGTGACGATGTTTCCAAGGCTGCTGATGTTGCTGCGGCTCAGCTAGCCTACGATTCAGCCAAGTCTGAGCATGGCCAATATGCCCGCGATCGACAGTTCGACTTCCATGCGAATTCGAATGAGCGGGGAACGTCTCATTTCTTTCGGAAGCCGTTGGGAACCAAGGTGCCCATCAACTGTGTCACCGTGGATGGGGTGATGATCACCGATGAGCCCACCGTCCAAACCACGTTCACGGCGCACTGGCGATCCATCATGACGAGCCCACAGGATGCCAACCCACCAGATCACCATCGCCGTCGTGCTGTAATCGAGTCCCTCACGAAGCGACTCAACCTGGCTGATCGTGACAGTCTCGACCAGCACACCCATCACTGCGACTGAGCTGTGTGATGCCATGAAGACCATGAACCCATCCAAGTCGCCTGGTCCGGATGGCTGGTCAGCAGGGTTCTTTCAGGTGGCTCCTGAGATCTTCTCGGAACTGCTGCTTATGGTGTTTAACTACCAGCTCACCCACCATGGATGCCTGCTACCCCACCAACGCCGCAGTGCCATCACCCTGTTGCACAAGAGTGGTGACCGGGGCATGCCAGGCAACTACCGACCCATTTCTCTCATGCCCGTTGAGGTGAAAGTGCTTTCTCGTGCCCTGGCATACCGCCTCGCTCGGCACGCACCACAGCTAATCCACCCCACCCAAGCTGGTTTTGTGCCCGGACGTCGACTCCATGACCACGTCACCATGGTGCAAGCACTCCAGCACTACTGCACGATGGAGGATGAAGACAGCTATGCCTCGTTTCTCGACTTCTCGAAGGCGTACGACATGGTGGATCAATCCTTCCTGTTTGACGTGCTTGAGGAGATGAATTTGGGTGCAAATTTCATCTCGTGGGTCCGTCTGCTGTACAAATCACCGGTGGCTCACCTCCTGTTCAACGGCACATTGGGCCCAGCCATCAGGCCAACTCGTGGAATGAAACAAGGCTACCCACTGTCATGTCTGCTGTTTGGGTTCTACCTGGAGCCTCTGGTTAACATGCTACGTGATCAACCACACCTTGGGATCACTCTGCCCCAT